AGAGAGAGAGAGAGAGAGCTGAGATTGAGATAATCGGGAACCCATTTGCCTGAATACTAAGATTACAAAGGAATGAATTACTTACTATGTTCCAACAATATTGATGGTGTTGGCTTGAGTTTCATCCCCTCCAAAAAGTCTTGCTATTCCAAAGTCTGAAATTTTAGAATTGAAATCACTATCCAGCAAAATATTGGCAGCCTTGAGATCGCGATGAATAATTCTTAGTCGAGAGTCTTCATGGAGATAAAGAAGCCCCTTGGCAATACCCACAATGATGTTGAAGCGCTTCATCCAATCTAGTTGTGGGCGCTTTTCTGGATCTGCATAATATTTTCATGTGAATAACATATGCTTGTTGTCTCTGCGTCTCAATCATGTTGTCACTGTGTCTCAATCATATATATGCTTATTTCAACATTTATATAGGATGCAGTTAGCATAAAACCTGGTATGCGGTTAGCATAAAGCCCAAGTCTTATGATGGGAAAGGAAAGCAGTACCTCAAAACCCCGTTACAAAATGTAATTTCCCAAAATTAGCACAAATCTAGTGGATATGTAAACATTTTAAAATGGATGGTCCAAATAATTTGTCATAAAAACACACCATTTTTAGGGTTTCCGATCTATTATATTTTATTTCATAGTTGTAATTGTCACTTTGAGGGTTTCTAGTGCCGAAACTGCAATTTTCTAATGAAATATGAGGTACAACTTTATAGCCTACGCCTTTCATTAAGTTTTTCCTCTTATACATGCAAATGTGTGCATGAACATCATAAAATCAATGTAGAGTTTGGATACAAACCAAATAAGATGGTGTCAAGGCTCTTTTTGGGCATGTATTCATAAACCAGAAGTTTTTCCTGTCTTTCGAAACAAAATCCCAGGAGCCTCACAAGATTCCTATGTTGGAGTTTGGCAATCAAGATGACTTCATTCTTGAACTCCTCTAAGCCCTGTCCTGAACTCTTTGAAAGTCGTTTCACTGCAACCATTTTCCCATCTTGCAACTTGCCCTGTGAAGAATTATCTTCCTTTCTTTATTGACGAACATCACAAAACTAGCTAATCTGCGAAGGACTTTCTCAAAGAAGCAAGTTTACCTTGTATACAGGACCATACCCCCCTTCTCCCAACTTATTTGCATCAGAAAAATTGTCAGTGCATGCTACAATGGTATCTAAATTAAAGAGCAATGACGTATTTTCATCTCCTCCCACACCACCATGTCCGATTTGTTCTCTTCTGTCCCCAGTATTTGATCTCTCGTTCTGATTAAGTGATACATGGCTTTGATCATTCCTTCCTATCAAATCAAACAACATTAAGGAAATAATGAATAGAACCATGGTATTTATCATGAGTTACTCCTCTCTTAAGATTAACTAAAGAATGAAGGAGTTCAAATCACTTCAAATGAACTAATCCAACAAACTTGCCTACCTTTTTGTGCAGTCTTTCTTCTATATATACAAAACAGACATATGGCTAGTAAAAGAACTGCACTTGGAATAACTGTCGCGATGACGATAATGCTTGATGTGGATGATTTTTTCTTTTCATCTGCATCAAGAATAAAACCATTTTACACTTGAATCATTTTTTCTTCAAATCAGACATGTATTTGCAGTTGAACCAATTAGTCATACATTCTACTCAAAGAAAAACTAGCAAGAGTGACATGAGATACGCTTCATCTATGGACAAAGACAAACTAAAAATATATAGCATGTACTAAATTCTTATCATAGGTCAATCCAAGAGAAAATGATTGTTTGATGCCTTGATCCAGAGAAATTGAAAGGTAAATGTGAATGCTGATGGATGCCAAGAATTTCTGAAGTTCTACTTGAGATTTTAAATGATTGAAAAACTACATATGATACAAGATGCTGGATAAGCACAATCCGTTTCAACCAATATCGAACTCCGACATATAAAAAATGAATCATATTTTTTCATTTTTTAACTAAATCAATGTATAAATATATTTATATAAACTTTAAAAGTTTGGTCATTGTTTTGAGACACGACTTGGCCATGGTCCTTGGAGTTTCTCGGCCAAGTCTAACTAACTCGCTCCAGTCATGTTCACTTAAAAAAGAAATGACAATGAAGAAGAAATATAATAAATATGATAACCCGCCTTACTTTAGCATAAAGCTTTGAGTGTTGTATTGGTCGACTCATCTAGCTTTTGTATGTTGCTCTCTATGAACTCACTATTCAAAAAGCACGCGCATATGCTCTCTATTTAACTCACCCTCTCTCAAAAAAAAAAAAAAACAGAAACGAAAACAAAAGGAAAAAAAGAAAAGTGCCTTACCTTTGAGGGAATCGAACCCTAATCACCGTAAAAAGAACGCACATATGCATGCCAAAACACTTTTACTATATAAAAATTGGTATAACCTACTCGGACAAAACTCGCCTCACCCTTAGGGCGAGGCCGAGCTATTAGGCTGAGTCCAAGTGGCCTCGGCCGAGCCTCGAAACACTGATTTTGATTCTGTAATGAGGATTTATGATTTTTCTTATTATAAGCGCTAGTTCTTTTGTTGGATTTTTCTGAATAGTTTCTAGCTACAAATCAATATTTTCCAAATTCCATCCTCTTATATAAAAAGGGATTGTATATAATGAGACTATTTACAATGAGCATAGGGAGGTCACAATTACTCATAATCATTCGATGTGAAATCCGATAGCTTGGGTGTGTCACAATGTTCGATAAAATTGATATAGAAAATTAAGATTGGATTTTATTTCACAAACAAATTTATTAAAGGGACCACATTTCTACATGTGTGGGCCTAACCGCATCCAAAACTAAAATGCCCATTTCGGTCAACTTATTTTACTATTTTTCTTAATCACTAAGTGTGCCCCTCCAAAGAAAGTACTAGTGTTTAGAGACTTGGATCGTCGAGGCGAATTGTTCACCCACAGATCTATGCCAAATTGTAGGATTGGTGATCTGTATCAGGTCTAGATAAGCCTAAATTTGTGATCAAGGAAATATTAAAAATAAAATAAAATTTAAATAGAAGAATATAGGTGGCGGGACTTAAAAAAGACAATAAATATGCTTAAAAATGTGAAGAAGATTATGCAAAGGGAGGGGGGAACTGGGCTAGAACCCATACCACCCTAGATTTTAAAATGCTAAATTGGACAGAACAAAAGATTTCATAGCAAGTTTATCTTTAGAAAAGACCAATGTTTTAAAACCATACAATTTTTTATCCGAATCATCAATGTAGATGGGAATTGATTAGGATCGAACTTGTTTTGGATGGTATGGGTCCTGACCCAATTCCCCTAAAACTTTCTTATATATGTTTTTTTTTTTTTGGCTAAATTAGTATTTGTGTAGGTTCCCCTCTATATTCAAATGCTATGAATGTTTAATTTAATTTTGATTTAATTTATTTATTTTTTAATATTGTTTGAATCGTCAATTCAAATCCAGACCCAATCGGAATAATTGTTCATCTAGCAATACAACATAAATCCGTGGGTGAAAGTTTCGATGCATTGTCCAAGTTTTAAAGACAAGAAAAGACATAAAATAGAAGGAAAAAGTTTATATATGGTTGCAACCTTATACTATTGAAGTAAGGTAGACCACAAAAATAGTACAAGAGAGAATGTTCCGATGTTGGAACCTTGCAGCTGATCATCTTGACGTCAAGATGTATGGATATGATGAAAAAAAAAAAAATTAAAATCTAAAAATTGGTGCATATTGTAAAACTTTATATTGACAGTCTATTTTCAAGATTTTTAAGTATTTATTGACATGTGTATTATTTTTGAAACTTCAAAATAGGGATAAAAATATATTTTCAAACAATCATCACGATTTTGACAATGAAAAAATATCGCTAAGAAAATTTTATATGTTTGCCCAACCCCTGTAGTAAAAGAGAGAACCATGTACAAACCTCACCCAAAGTGAATTGTGATGGTGGCGCCAATTCAAATGGGTGGGCAGGACCACGCGTAAAAGTTTTGACTGTATAAAGTTTTCGTACTTTTGACGGAGTTATTACATGAATGTTCATACTCAACCAAATCATTAAATAAATAATTTTTTGGGCCCACCTTCATGAATGCGATAGTCAACAAAATAGACCCTAATTACTTTTTTTTGTTTTCATTATGGGAAAGTCTAGTGATGCCTGAAAACCGGAAAATATACCCATTTTGCTCCCTGAGGACCATCCACAAACTGTGATCATGAATGGACGGAAACGATGAAATCATTCTCTACAATTACCTGCTCAAACGGATAGGTGATCCATTCCCACCGTAATTCACTGTCATTGGACGGTGGAAAATGCCTATCCTGTACTGTTTGTATGCTACATGCTACACTACGCAATGCCTACCAAAATTCAAAGAGCCGTTTGAACTGAGAGAGTATTCGCTTACCTGGAGAGGTGGAATTTTCATGTGGTGGTGGCTGCAGAGAGTTTGGCGTAGCCGGTGGCGGCGGCGAGTTTGGCATTGGCTGTGGTGGCGGTGGAGGGGAGGGTGTGAAGAATGAATATGTTTCATACCGCAGTATACAACTCCCGCTCAAAACTTGACCTCCAACATGACCATTGCAGCATTTGGGGATGTCCGCAATGGCGTTGTCAAGGCAGTTCCGACACAGTGCAGCATCGAGATCCCTCGTGCACTGCAACAGCCCGTAAATCGTTACAAAATTATCGTACACAGTCTTCCCGGATGCATAGAGGAGTAGCGGGTCAGAGACAGCTCTCGATGTCAGGTTCCTCATCAGACCACCAAGTTCCCGGTTGAAGGAGTCTGGATCAGAGGCATTGTTTACATTCCAAAGGTAAAATCGATTCGTGTTTATTGATCCGATGAAATTGGAATCAGAGTAGCGAAGGATGCACTGATCGTCCCAAAAGATCGCCTCTTTCCTGTTGGGACATACTTGCAGGGCGTCGGTTGTGGTCCTGTTCATGCAATCTTCGCATTCGGCAGTGGTGGTGTCACCCCTGCACTGGGCAAGGCCATAGGCTTGGTCAGGGCTCGTGCCCGAGGTGGTGGAGTTGAAACCCCTCGAGATGGGGGCATTGGCTTTGAGGGATTGAAGGAGGCTTTTCAGATTCTCCTCATACCTGCTTCCTGCCGTGTAATTTGAGCCCAAGCATTGTTCAGCTGCTTTTGCTCTATGCGGGAGAAGCGTGAATGACAGAAGTGAAAGAAACAGGGGAGTTGTAAACGCAATCAAACGCATCTCTCTCTATTTATTTGCTGTTTCTGATCTCTCCTATCTCTATTTATTTGCTTTCTCTCTCTCTCTCTTAATATGCTCTCTGTCTCT